TCGTAACAAGGGCACACTATCCGTGCAAGAAATTACTGAAGCCGAACGACGGGTATTGAGGCTTATTCAAAAAACACGATACGCCGTCGAAATTAATCGTATTACAAAGTCGGAAAGAATAAAAGGCACAAAATTGGCCTCGTTAAGTCCAATAATCGATGAACATGGTTTGCTTCGCGTCGGCGGCAGGCTGCAAAATGCAAACGTGCCCTTTGCACAGAAACACCCGATACTACTACCTTCACATCATCACGTCACCGATTTAATTATTCGGGATATACACGAGAAAAATTACCACGCGGGTATACAATCCACCCTCTACACCATCGTCACCGTTTTTGGCTTCTCGACGGTAAAAATCAAGTACGTAAAATCGTTCGACATTGCGTGCGCTGTATCCGCTTTCGAGCAACACCCGCTGAATACAAGATGGCCAATCTACCGCGGGCCAGAGTCGAAGAAGCCACTGCATTTTGTCATACAGGTGTCGATTTTTTCGGTCCTATGTACATTAAAGAGAAAAAACAACGAAATAGAGGCCGCGTAAAAGTATACGGGTGCGTCTTTATTTGTATGGCAACAAAGGCCGTACATATTGAAATCGTTAGCGATCTATCGACTGAGACATTTCTCGCAGCCTTAAAACGCTTCATGGGACGTAGAGCCATACCCTCTAACGTTTACTCTGACAACGGCACAAATTTCGTGGGCGCGAATAATCAACTTCGCGAATTATACACCTTGGTCGAATCAGACGAATTTAAAACGCGAGTCAAGGACTTCGCGGCAACCAAGAAAATTTCTTGGCATTTTAATCCGCCCTTCTCACCGCATTTCGGAGGTATCTGGGAAGCGGCGGTCAAATCATTTAAACACCACCTCAAACGAGTAATAGGTGATCTTCTCTTCACATATGAAGAACTGAATACCTTGACAATAGAGATCGAAGCTATACTGAATTCACGACCTTTGTGCCCAATTTCCACGGATCCAAATGATCCGCTGGCACTGACGCCTGCTCATTTTCTAGTAGGACGTCCTCTTACAATGCTACCGGAAGAAAATTATATTTCTGTTCCAGAAAATCGTCTATCGTCATGGCGATTGATAACCAAGGCTCGCCAAGACTTTTGGCGCAGGTGGCACACCGAATATTTAAACGAACTTCAGAAACGACAGAAATGGATGAACGATGGCAGCGGTCTACAACAAGACACCATTGTCATCCTCATAGATAAAAACCAACCATGTATGCGTTGGCAGCTGGGACGAGTTGTGGAATTACACCCGGGGGACGACGGCGTGGTCAGGGTCGCTACAATCAAGACGGCCCAAGGGATTTTCAAGCGCAATGCGAAATTACTTTGTCCGTTACCGAACCTTTCTTAACTATATTGTATTTGTATGATCAATATGTTCAACCTATATATAAGACTCAACATTGTAAAGTTGCGGCATGCGATGGCGACTCGGGGCATTATCCATACTAGTTGATCGTTTCACTCTCAACGGGGGGAGAATGTTCCGTGGACGGAAGATCGATTTTGCTCCTTTACCAAATTTGAATTTCGCGCATTTTCGCGTAGTAAGTGGGCGCGACCTTCGCGATTTCGTCGAGGGCCCGCGCTACCGTCGTGGGCCCGTAGCGGGGGGCGGCGGTACGAGCCGCCGTTTTTCCGCTAATAGAGGGGATCCGCGAGATCGTCAGTCCGAATATTCCATCGGAACAGGTCAGTCCGGAAAACCTCTCGATACGCGAGTAACTTATCGTTCAGTCGACACGAGTCATCGGTGGTCCGAATCAGTGACGAGTTCGTTGCGCATAATTCGACGGAGATCGCGGTTCGATAACTACGGATACCCGATTAATCCGGTTAACGTAAAATCACGCGATTTGCTTTGCACCGTCATCGATTCGCGCATCCGCGAAATGACTTCGGTCACTTCTTGATTCGCACTTATGTGAACTGACTTCGGTCACTCATTAATATCCGAGCTTAGTCTCGTGGCGAGTCGTGTCTCGCGGGCTATGCCCTACGCCTTGTGCGGTAACACGAATAATACCGAACTTGTTCTCGGACCGAGCTTAGTCTCGTGGCGAGTCGTGTCTCGCGGGCTATGCCCTACGTCTTGTACGGTAACACGAATAAACGATTCTCACGCGCAGGGCCCTGACGCTATCGATATACCTGATTGTGACACTCATTGTACTGGATTATCATATTTGAGGGGTTTTTATGCCGCAAGGCTTTTCCCCAAGAGCTAATAAAGGTATCATCCTTGAAGCTCAATTAACGTCTCCTTTACTCATATCCCTCATACCTTACCGGGTCATACGAACCACGGAATCTCTCCATGTTGGAGAGATTTCGACGCTACAAAACTTTTTAGTTTGATAATTTAGTTTGATATTACAATAAATTAAATTTTTCACAAATATCTACAGCAAATCATACATGAAATAAAATAATTAGCCAGAATATAAATGAGGAAACATTAGTTTTTATTTAATTTTTAATATTTTGATGATTAACATTTAATAATACAAATTATTCAGTATATTATCATTATATTTCGATTAAAATAAAATGTATCTTCATTTTGCTCGCAGAGAGTACGTTTTACTCTTTTTCTTTACTCTCTGATATATTTAGAACATTCCCTAGTAGTTATTTATTTTTATTAAACTATCTATATCAGAAAAATGTGCACCTAAGGAATACTAGGAGAATATTCTAATAGTAGTATTATTTTAGGTGATAAAGAGGCGTTGGAACTATTACGCATAAATAGTGACACGGGCAAGATAACAGATCCTTCAGATAAAATATTCTTATCCGAAGTCCTCGACAAAAAGAAAGAGCAGCAACAGGAAAAGAAAAAAGAAAGACTGCTCAAAAGAAAGCCAATGTTCAGGTTGCTGCAGAAATTGCGAAAGACACATCGATTTTTGATGACATACGCATAAATGACACTCAATCACGAGCGTTTGAAACTGCACCTTCAATAACTGTGCAAGGAACTCATCCATCTCCTACGATCAACAGCGCATTCTGTACTTCGCTCTCCACTGTGAATGTGAATTGTGCAAATGTGAATTATGTGAATAATTCTTATGCACAATCTTCACTTTCGCAGAGAGAGTCTCGAAGTCCCCATCTGGAGTTACTGTCTGCTTGTCCGTCAACAGCAAATGAATTTGGGTACGAACTCACTCCAACAATAGTATCTACCCAGGCTTTGCTCCCATTCATAGATTCAAATTACAGGGCGATAAATATGCTCGCCAGTAATGACGGAAAATCCGCAATGGTTTCCGATGACTACACCACCTCTGCCACTCGTAGCACAACAGTACTTCGACAATTCAACGGCACTACAGCCTTTATATGGATCTGCTTCACAAGCCTCGCAATCTAGTGAGCCACTGCAATCTTGTTCAGTTCCTGAATTTTCACAGCAGTCGATACACGGATCTGCTTCACAAGTCTCGCAATCTAGTGAGCCACTGCAATCTTGTTCACAACTGTCCGACTTTTCACAATCCAAATGTACACAACAAAATGATCCTAGAAACAATAATATTCGTTCAAAAGACATGGTTGAAAGATTTATAGATGCTTTCAGAGCTCTTGCTCCGGAAGGTAAATATAATAAATTATTTTTCTTTTCATTATTGCAGTTACTAATTTTTGCGCTATTTAAAAAAGTATATAATTTTATTACCATGTTTTGCTTTTTCAGTGACTGAATCAAACATCAAATTCTTCGAGACAGTGGTTACCACGATAAAGTCGATTGTATACGTGTTCGCGGCGAATGAGCGGTCATTTGTATTAGCCGGGTTACCGGCGGAGCGGCGTTGCCGCCGCGCGGCGAAAGTGTTCGGCGGCACCGGCCGCGCGTGCGCGGAGCGCAAGTGTGCGAGCGGATGCGAGTGCGGCGTGCGAGTCGCCTCCTTCGCCAGCTTTCCTTCCGGTTAGCGACAGTGCAGTGCGATCCGGGAGAGACGGCAGTAAAGGTGGGACTGTAGAGAGCATCGGTAGTGGAGAGGCAGGCGACGGACCTGTTGCGAGCGACATCGGATCCTGCACGAGCGAGCCTGCCGTTACAAGCGAGTACGACCCGGGAGCCGGCGAGCAACGATCGAGGCTCTGGACCAGGACTATTGGGAAGGCCCGCGGCCCAGAGGGCTGAGCGGCCATCTTCTACCACGTGAGGACTGTGGAACGGGGACCCGGCCCAGGCGATCACGCCTTGCCAGGTGTTTGCCCCGGAAGATAGACCGATCCCGTCAGCGGGGGAAGGCGCGGGCCCTTCGGCTCGGTTGAGGGTGCCGATCCGGCCGGTGCGCCGAGAGGTGGTTGCGAGCGAGCGAAATCGGGAAGGATCAAGGTAATTGTGGGGCGTCCGCGGGGGTGGAAGGGGCGGCAACGGCCATTCGGGCCTTCCGTCATTGTATCTCGCGTGCGCGCCGTCTCGCTGTCGTGACGGGGAGTGAGTGCGGGACGGCCGAAACACGCCGTCTCGTCACTCTGTTAATCCTGCCCACGGTGGGCGAGTGTGTCTTGGTTCGGGGGAACGAGAGGCCAAGTGCGCCGACTCGTCGCTTTGCGGGCTGTGTTCCCAGGGTGGACGCGAGCCTCATTCTCTGGCGAGTGGGGGTGCGGAGGGGCCAGCCGCATCACCCTCCCACAGCGTCGGACGCGGATAAGTACGCGGTTCGACGTGTCTTCCGGCGGGACAGCGGGACGACGAGTGTTCCTACGGGAAAGGGGCGGTATCGATCTGTAACGACGCGCCGCCATTTCGGGCCATCGTGGCCATTTCCGTCGCGCGTAGCGGCAGTTACCTCGCGTAGCAACAGCTCGCGCGGGGCGATGCGTGTTCATACTTGTACGAGAGGGGAGGTGTCGGCCGGCAACGGCGCACCGCCATTTCGGGACTTTGTAGCCATTTCGGTCTCGCGGAGAGACAGTTACCGCGCGTTGAGCCGGTTATCGTATGTAATTGCGACTGCGTACTGTGACGATTGTGAATGGGCCTGTATCTGACGGATTGCTGCCTGCGCCCGTTCATACGGCGGCCAGGCATTGAGAGCTAATAAAGTGTGCGCTTGCTCGGGCTTTTCCCTTGACTCGCAAGGGTTTTTATGCCTCAGCAAGTGGGTGTGTATCGCGGGAAACGGTGTGTTGTAATTATGTGTTCCCTTCTAAGACTGCATCCCGCTTCCTTATCTACGAACCCGGCTGTAGGATTTATGAGACTTATGCGCGTACCAAACGCCCGAGGCGTTCCGATGATTTAGATTCGGTTAGGACTTCATCGAGACCGATGAAGCGAGACAAATAGACAACAATACGTCTGAAAATATTGAAGCTTCAAAGGAATCTTCTTTCAAAGTAATATTGTTTTTCTTTCACTAAAAACACAAAGTAAGATAGAAACTATATGAAATTTTGTAATATTATATGTGTATGCGCGTGTATATGCGCGTCCGTATGGCTGCGTATGCGCGTGTATGTGCGTCCATATGTGTATATGCACGCGTTCGTGCCCTAAGTGCGTACCTGTGTCCGTCCGGCTGATTCCGATGCCCCACGTTGGGCGCCAAACTCTTAGGTAGATGATTGTGTGTGTGTGTGTGTGTGCGTGTGCGTGTGCGTGTGCGTGTGCGCGTGCGCGTGCGCGTGCGCGTGCGGTATAAATGCGTATGTATTCGATTACAATTCCAAAAGCGCGACATTGCGTACCGGCTTTTCTTTCGCCATCTTAACTCGACTCCCTCTGCTCGACAACTGGCGCTCTAGCGCCGCTACCTCACCTCTACCGAGATCGGTACAAACGAAAACCGCGGAATATATAATTCAATCTGTAACAAATATAATTTTGTGTCTACATTTTTTGTTGTTGCAGATTTCTGATTTCTATAGAACTCCCGGCAAAGGCAAGGTAAATTGTTTGATAAATATTGATTTTTACTATTGTTTTGTATATGTTATTATGACAGAGATGATGTAATTTGAGCGCATTTTCAGGTAGAAATATATCCTGGAACAAACATTTATTTTTATGAGGGTATCAAAACAAATATTTTGGATAAATCTAAAGTTTTGGACCCGAACACCTCAGAGTGTATTAATCACTGGCCTCTCCTCGTGCGGCATGCACTGATCGAGGTATATGGGAAGAATTTGGCTTCATTGTGTGCAAAAGGTAGCAAAAAAAATGGACGCCCAGGTATCGATACTCAGTTTTACAAAGCTCTTTACTGTATCTTTTTGTGCATACATACTATAGTATATATATATATATATATATATATATATTCTTTCACCTCTTACTCAAGACATTCTACCTTAGAAATGATCTTTATAAGTTGTTAAACTTATGTGGCCGCCATTCAGCAACCCCCTCAGACCTCAGGTCCCTCTCGTAATCCCTCCCGTGTTCCCCGTGATGACCGTTCTGAAGATTCGCTTGAACATGCGTCCCCCATCCGCCTTCGCGACGCGATAGACACAATTCCAAAATTCGATGGGCATAACATACCGGTGCACCATTTTTCGAAAATTTGTGAAAGAGCTTTTGAGCTTATTCCACAGTACCAAGAGTATCATCTCGTTCAACTCATTATTAACAAATTGCAAGGACATGCGTATTCCGCTATTGAGGGTACTCAACCGTTGAGTGTCCTCGAGTTAACAAGACGATTGAAAAGAATTTTTGGCCCTAACAAATCAGTAGATCAGTACCGCGGTGAACTAGCCAATGTGTTTATGAAAAGTAATGAAAATATCTTCGATTATGTCGCGCGCGTACAAGAATTACGCACCTCTATTATAGATGGAGAAACCGACAGTGTTGGGTATATCGAATCCAGCAGAAAAAAAGAGATAGAAGATACGGTCATGAACAGTTTCGTGAACGGATTGCCATCCGAGCTACTTATTCGAGTTAAAATAGAGAATTGTGATATTCTAGAAGAATCGATCGAGACCGCGATCCAACTTTCAAAAACCATAGAAGCTGAAAGAGCACGCAAGCGTCCTCTCGTTGTGAATCCGCCTGCCCGTGCTGATCCCCAGTATACTATCCTACGACCCCCTCGCCCCTCGATACCTCCGGAAGGTCCCCGTCCATTTATTAAACCCTTGATTCCCGGTCAGCCAGGACCAAACTTCCCTACCACTAAGGTGTGTTATTATTGTAAAGCCCCCGGACATTTTAAGAACCAGTGTCAAAAATACGCAATGTATACAGCCGCAGGACATACCCCCCGTTTCGAAACTGATCAACAGCCGGAAAACTCCGCGCGCGTTCCGATGAACGACGTCCCGCGGAACGTACAGATAGAGAGACGTCAAGAAACACAAGAATCTGCAAGACCGATTCCCCTCCCAGCTACAACTTCAGCAATGTAGAAACCTCCGAGGCAGATAACGAGCTGCCATCCGTGATAATAAAGTCGGGAGATCTGAAGGCTCCATGTATTTTCATGATCGATTCTGGATCCAAATTTAATTTAATAAAAGAACGTTTTATTAAGGAACCAACAATAATTAATCACGATAACGTTGCCGAATTGAAAGGTATCACGCCCGGTGCAGTATTTACCAAAGGTGATATTAAGATTGATTTTTTAGGACAACAAGTCCTGTTTCATGTAATAGCGGATTCAATTGCGTTCCCACACGATGGAATTATAGGAACGCCCTTCTTTAAAAATTATGGAGCTATTATTAACTACAAAAGAAAATGTTTGATATATGACGACACCACTATACCTTTTATAAGGATCGAACGAGTTTATTTAACGGAACGGTCCGTCACTCCCTTTTATGTTAACATTTTAAATTCTGAGGTACAGGAAGGCTACCTCCCCCGATGTAATATACCTGAGAAAGTTTATTTAGGCGAAGCCATCGTCACTAACAAAAATGGCAAGGCTTGTTTGCCGATTTTCAATACGTCAGAAGAAAAAATAGAAGTTTTAATACCATCCGAAGAGTTACAAGAATTCACTATCATAACACCGAATAGTTCAATTAAAGAAAACCCCGTGGGCATCCGAAAATGCACCATTACGTGCAACGAATCAAGTAAACCACTGTATGAAACTGAAACCCGAGGGAATGAGGCAGAGCACAATTTAGAAATACAAAACCCCCCCTTCATAAGTGATAACGACGTCGAGAACGACATTGATCATAACCGCGCACCTCTTGAAAGCATCGCCCAGATCCAGAAACGCTTGGGAGACTCTGATATTCCCCCTGTCGGAATTAGTAATCCCGTATATTTCTTTAACGAACCCAATAACCGCGTTAGGAAAGTTTTGGAATTATTAAGGTTAGATCATTTAAATAGCGAAGAAATTCTTAATATTCAAACTTTAGTTTCGAACTCTGCAGATAGATTCCATATCCCCGGTGAAAAGTTAGAAGCTACTACTTTTGTAGAACACATAATTCACACCACGGATGAGCTCCCCGTTTTTACTAAGCAATATCGATACCCCCCGTGCATCGCGAAGAAATTAACAAGCAGGTAACTGATCTCCTAAGTAATGATTTAATTAGCTATTCGACATCTCCATATAGCTCTCCGGTATGGATAATACCAAAAAAGGCCGATTCCCAAGGCAACAAAAAATGGAGAATGGTGATAGACTATAGAAATTTAAATGAAAAGACCATAGGTGATGCCTATCCTCTCCCCAATATTATTGATATTTTAGACCAACTGGGGTCTGCCAAATATTTTTCAGTATTGGACTTGGCATCCGGTTTCCATCAAATTTCAATGACTCCCAAAAACGCGCATAAAACAGCTTTCACTACGCCATATGGACATTATCAATTCAAGCGTATGCCCTTTGGATTAAAAAACGCCCCAGCCACATTCCAACGATTGATGGATAATGTGTTATCCGGATTACAAGGAAACGAACTCTTCGTTTATATGGACGATATAGTCATTTATGCAAGATCAATAGAGGAACATGAAATTAAGTTTAAGAGATTAATACAAAGATTACGCTCCGCAAACCTGAAGCTACAACCGGATAAATGTAAATTTTTGTGCAAGGAAGTCTCTTATTTGGGTCACATCATTGGGTCAAATGGTGTTAGGCCAGATCCCGACAAGATTAAAGCAGTAGCTGAGTTTCCAACGCCCCGAACACCGAAAAACATTAAGCAGTTTTTGGGACTCGCAGGATACTATCACCGCTTCATTCCAAATTTTTCAAAGGAAGCCAAGCCTCTTACAGATTTGTTAAAGAAAAATAAAGAATTCCACTGGTCTACAAACCAGGTGAATGCCTTTACTACTTTAAAAACCGCGTTGGGCTCCAATCCTATTCTACAATATCCGGATTTCACGAAAAATTTTACTCTCACAACTGACGCATCAGGATACGCGGTTGGCGGAATATTAAGTCAAGGCTCTATAGGTAAGAACCTTCCGATAGCTTACACTTCGCGCGTTTTAAACGCTGCAGAACAAAATTACTCGACCATTGAAAAGGAGTGCTTAGCCATTATATATTGCGTAAGTCACTTCCGACCTTACCTCTATGGTAAACCATTCACTATTGTTACTGACCATAAGCCGTTGGTATGGTTGCACTCGGTTAAGGATCCTTCTTCGCGTTTATGGAAATGGAGAACTAAATTACTGGAATATGAATATGAGATAAAATATAAAAAAGGCACTTTAAATAATAACGCCGACGCCTTATCTAGAAATCCCCCAGTAAACTTTATTTTCCCCATTGATTTCAGTGATGATTCTAATGAATCTTTATTTTCTCCTGTATCCCGAATCACTACCCCGCTACTTCCCTTACCCGCACCCAACTCTCCAGACCCTCCGAACCCATCAATAACGAGCCCTGCAAATCGAATGAATATGCCATTAAATTCTCCTCATGATGATTATATAGAAATGCCTAACCTCGAATCAGAACTAACAATCGAAGAAATTCCTGTGTCAAGTGATGATGAGTTAAGTTCCGGTTCTGACCAAGATTACGAGGAAATGTTCACTCATGTGACCACGCCATACGAAAATTGTCCTATCGAATATAATATAAATCAAGCCCCTAACATTATCGAAGTCCGTAATAATTTTTTAGAACAGAAGGGAGTTCACGCTATATTTATTCAATTGAATGGTATGCCCTTTGACCAAGGCGCTCAATTATATTTTAATGCTAATCTGTTACCAAAGTATGAACACCTTACATATGAACGAGCTACTATACATACCATCAAAGCTAACACTTTGATTTCTCTACCCATAAAATTAAATTCTTATACGTTAATCGAACCAACAACCCTGAAAAATTGTTTGCTGTCCCTTTTAAACGTAATAACGGAACTAGAATTAACAAACATATATATGTCTAAGAGCATTTCATTCGACGACCTACCATGGTCTTATGTCATAAAACAATTAAAGAAAATTTTAACAGAGACCAATTGTCGAATAACTATTTGCCAAAATTTGGTAAGAAATCCCGCTGTGCAAGAACGCGAGAAGCTAATATTAGAAAACCATGCGTCAGCAGTAGGCGGACATAAAGGTGTCACCAAAACATACATATAATAGAATTAGACCTCATTATTTTTGGACTAATATGAAAAAAGACATACAGGAATTTATCCAGAAATGTAAAGATTGTCAGCTGAAAAAATTAACAAGAGTAAAAACTAGACAGCCCATGGTTATTACAGACACCCCAGGTGCAGCTTTCGACAAAATTTCATTGGATATCATGGGACCTCTTCCTATGACAAAAAATAATAACCAATATATATTAACTATACAAGATCTATTAACTAAATACTCTGTCGCTGTTCCCTTAATTGAAGCCACTTCGCTTTCCATAGCTGACGCATTTTCTAAAAATTTTATTTGTATTTACGGTGCTCCTATAAAGCCATGTTGACAGACCAGGGAACAAATTTCTTATCTTCTCTAATGAGAGCTTTAGCAAAAAAATTTAGAATTCAACAGTTTAGAACCACAGCCTACCATCCACAATCCAACGGATCTATTGAACGATCACATCACGTTCTCATGGAATATCTGAAGACACAGATAGATAACGAAAGGAATTGGGACAATTATTTAAGTCTCGCTATGTTCTCATACAATACGAGTGTGCATGAGGGTACAAAATTCTCTCCGTATGAACTAGTATTCGGAAAACTTGCACGATTGCCCTCTTCGCACGAACCCATTGAAGAAAACCTTGAACCAACGTATCGCGAGTACTTAACGGATTTATTTAATAAATTATCTGAATTACAGAGACAAGCGCGAGTAAACTTATTGAAATCAAAAGAAACAAGCAAGAAATATTATGATAAGCGAATTAACGTGCATAACTTTAAAATTGGAGATTACGTTTTCTTGTTGAACGAAACTAAGAAAAGAAAATTCGCGAATCAATATACCGGACCCTATAAAATAATGGAAATATTGCCTATGAATAATGTAAGATTATTAATCAATAATCATTTTCGCGTCGTTCACAGCGATAAATTAAAAATAGCCCATATAAACCCAGGATGAAGAGATAATAACGCTTTTTCGCCTGTTTTAGATGCTTTGGGATCGCCGTCCTGCCCTGCCAGACCCACAACGGGCCTTGCCACATTTGAACAATCTCAACGAATTCTTCATTTACTGTATTAAGGCAGAAAGTTATCGAAACATTGATACTGGAGAAGCTCTTTGCAGCCCTTGTTACGACCGTATAAAACTCCTTGTTCGTCGAGAGCTTTTTGTCTTTAATAAAACACACTATGTAAGCTGTGGATTAGTCAACCGTGAATTACGTTGTTCTGTTCATAATTGTCCAACGCCAATAGTTACCACACGCCCCCTCCGGTGTTGCTTTACCTGCCAGGACGTTTTAAACGATTATCTGGCTTACGCGGAGGAAAGCGGCTTCACCCTCGACGTAGATCGGTTTTTAATCCCTATAGAGGGAACTCATTTCTAAATAATAACCAACCCCTCTGACAATTCATTAGCCTCGGACGCGACTGAAATATTTAGTATTGATATTGTTAAAACGCTTAGTTATAAAAACGTGGTACGCAAGGATATAAACCGTGCACCCGAAACCACTACATTCATTTAATTAACCAATATCTTAATAAAATATCCATTATTTGTAATATTATAATCACAATTATGTTACTCATAGAAATAACTTTTTCATTAATTTTAATTATAGTACCTAAGGTAAGTGGCTTAATTGGTTTCGACTGTGGAGTTCGACATTTGAATATAACTACCGTTTCTCTGCTAGATGTAGGTGAATGCAACCTAAAATATCATACTCCAACCACCACTCGTACTAAAATTCAGCTTTTACAATTATCCGATTATAATTACGCTGAGGTTTTTCAGTGTAAGGTCGAAATTTCGCGAACCATATATCATTGTGGAATGCACTCCCACGTTGCAATAGTATTCAATGGAAAAGCCGATTACGTACATGAAACGGGATACCATACCTGCATGCGTTTATTTACCGAAGGAAAAATTTCCCTCGGAAAAGATGGCGTTCTCGACAAAATAAAAGTAAATGAAACCTTTTATAGAAGTTTTGCCATTGCTGGAGATAAGAAACGACGGCACTTGTTCTGGCGCCCAGTATTCTGATTCATATGGAACTTGGGACAATGTTACAGTTCAGGCCTCCGCTAAAATTACAGTAAAATCCGGATTCTCTCCCGTACATTTAAATTCAGGAAAAATTAAGTTACGATCGGGAACTTCGTGTCCTCTAACTGACGGATTCTGTCTAGATCCCGACGACGGTTACTCCTTTTGGAAACCTATGCCCTTATCATCCTGTAAATTTGAGCAATACGACGTCCTGTACGAGGGACCGGCAAATAAGCTCACGTCTACTACCAGCGACTCGCCGGGTCAACCAATCTACAGCTTGATCACTCAAGACATTACCTTCGCCCTCATGACAACCAAGGAACTCTCTCTTTGCGGATATAAATTACTCCGTACGGAGCACCCGAAACTATTCATCCTGTTCAAGACGGGGATACCTTCGCCAAAAAGGGAAGCATCTCTATACCAAATTTAGATATCTTCACTTATATGAATTCTAAATTTGTTTACATCGAACGTCATATCCAGGACCAGATGACGTTACTTTATCACAATGTTATCCAGCAAAAATGCGCCCTTGAAAGACAGATACTTACCAATACCCTTTCTTTCGCTGCGCTGCAACCAGATGAATTTGCATACCAATTAATGAAAGGCCCTGGCCACATGGCTGTCACTGCAGGCGAGGCCGTGCATATTATTAAGTGTATACCCGTCGACGTCAACGTAAGAAGAACAGAAGAATGCTACAATGAATTACCCATCACATTACGAAACGTCTCACTATTTCTCACCCCAAAATCAAGAATTATCACAAAAACTGGAAATGAACGAGAGTGCTCTGGAGAACTACCAACTTTATACCGAGTCGAGCATACCTGGATTCAATTTACTCCCAAACCTCAAGCCTTACAGCTCTCTCCACAACAACTTGAACCCCTCACAACCCTCTCCTGGAATTACACTAAGCCTGGACCATTAGCAATATCGGGAATTTATTCGGAAACCGACATAGAAAAATTACGCAACCATATAATGTTCCCTGCGGAAAAACCCGCACTATTGAACGAATTAGCTCGACGACTTTCAGGACATGGCATTAGCCCACATTCCATATCTGCTTACAACTTATTGGACGAAGAAACTCTAAACCGAATCGCGGAAAGTACAGCTGCCCGCGTATGGAAGGGTTTTATAAATTTTGGCTCCGCAACAGCTGGAATAATGGGAATAATTATCATCATAAAAATCATCAAAGCATGTATAGACACGATAATACATGGTTACGCGTTGCACACTGTTTACGGGTGCAGTGCCCATTTACTTGGAGCTTTATGGAGCTCACTAATCCACTTATTGTTGCATTTATCTAGAAAACCTCCAAAAGCACAGTCTGTCCATTATGATACAAAAAATGAAAGAATTGAAATTTGTCCTCAACCAGACGACCAATTAAATGTTACCACACAATCGCAACCACAGCCACAACGATATACCATATATACCGATATTGAAAACCCCGCGCCACAATTATATCCCGATTTACCGAATCGCAGCGGCAATTCGCAATGTATCGGTTTTCGAAATAAAAAATAAATGTTTAAAATTTAAAAATTAAAAATAATGATAATTTTCAACACATTTAAATACAATTGCTGCGCAAAAAGAATTCAAAAAAGTTTAACCGTTGCAAAGTTACAACAAATTGTTTATATGATGTAAAACTCGACGTAATTAAGGGTATAAAAAAGATCCGAAGGCTCTACGCCTTATAGTTCTCGAGATAATTAAAAATTAAGAAACGACTAATTTTATACTAAAAATACACCAGGTACTAATGCCGAATCCGCCAAAATCGGCATTCGAACTCGAGCATTTAACAGGATTTCCCCCTACATCAATATATTACCTTGAATGCATATGCCCCTAAGGAAGTCTTATTGAGTGCTCAAGGCTAACGGACCCATAGTATCTAACCAGGCGGCATATAGAATATTATAAAGGAAAAATATAAGGTAGCCGTAGACATCAACTTCCGAACCTACAAGATAGCTTTAGGCATCGGCACCATAGGCCCCCGCCATACGCATCATCTTTTGTGCACACGGCCTATACATGCCCCTCCATTCTCAACCACCTCCACCAACCACCAGACAAAGCCCACGAAGAAGAAGACCAGAGTTGAGCGGTGACATTCAGAGCGATCAGACGTGTTATAAGAAGACAGCAGCAGCAAATACTTAACCGAAGACTTAGAACCATCGACATCTCTCAAAACCCCCTTGAAGTCTTAGTGACGAGGATCCCACGCAGCAGTGGCAGACCAGAACCCTGCTGACGAAGGGTGACCTTCTATTGGACACGTAACGATTGGACACCGCTCGATTGGACACGCACTATTGGACACGAATATTAACCCCTGGAACTATACTCGCATTCAGGGTTTCTACAACAATTCGCTTCGGCACTACCGCTGACTCAAATCGACTATTTGACAGATCACAAACTGAGGCTACAATTTTATTATAATTTACGCAATATAATACGGCAAATATTGAGAGAATGTCACTTCAGGTCCGCGAGAGAAAATCCCTGGAACTGTAGTCACATCAGGATTTCCGTTTCAATCGTTCCCCCTTTTGAGACACTTTCTCAACTATAATAATTCACTTTAAAATTTATTTCTGATCGCGTGATTTAATTTTTAGTATTTCACTAATTCACTGAAAAAAACTTCCGGCACTGTCACAAGCGGAAGGAACGAGGGTTATATGGAGCTACGGATTTACAGGTTTTCCATGGGATATTTATTCTTAGACTATGTTAGTAATGCATAACTATATGTGTGTGTGTGTGTGTGTGTGTGTGTGTGTGTGTGTGTGTGTGTGTGTATATGCAGGATATATAACAGAGCATTTGTATCAGATGTTTGTTTTTTAAAAATGATTATTTTCTCGGAAAATATTTCATACAAAAGTTGTAGGGGGACAAATAATGATAAAGTCAATTTTTGATAAAATCAAGTTTTCAAGGTCACATAAAATTTATTACCATGTTTTAAAATTGAATTGTAATTCTTCTTACATAATATAATTCCTCCAGTTATTATGCATATAAAAATATTCAGATAAAGTTATAAAAAATCAATAGTTTTCGAGATATTTTATACTTTATTCTGACATATTTTAACATGAAATAGATATCTCATAAACTATTGATTTTGTGATAACTTCAATACTTTTATATGCAGAATAACTGGAGGAATTATATTACATAAGAGAAATCATGAGATTTTATTCTTAAAAAATGGTGATAAACTTCATGTGAAAAATTTAAAAAAATCTTTACCATTATTTGTCCCTCTTTAGACCCTACAACTTTTGTATGGAACATTTTTCAAAAAAATTCATTTTTGCATACAAATACCTGATACGGATGCTTTGTTACTGCATATACCTACGTGCGTGCGTGCGTGTGTGTGTGTGTGTGTGTGTGTGTGTGTGTTTGCGCGCGCGCGCGCGCGTGTGTGCGTGCGTGTGCTGTGCGTGCTGTGCGTGCGTGCGCGTGTATATACATACACTGAGAAAAATGTCCGATTAAATATAATCGGATAATCCAATTACATGATAACAAACGGATATATCCGATTAAATTGTATATCCGATGAAAAATTTGATCGGTTTTTCAATGAAATTTCATCGGTAATTGCATTTCATCGGATAAATTTCATCGGATATATCCATAATTTAATCAGAAAACGTAATCAGAAAAATTAACCATCGAACATACTATTTAATTGGTTTATCCGATGAAAATTTTTCTCAGTGTACATATATACATACATATTATAATTTGCAATTTCTATTCCACGCCATTATTTATAATTTTAGACTGGGCATGTGATTGGAACGGTTCCAAGATTGCCGAAGAAAAATATATTGATAGCATAAATAAAGCTGCATATAATAAAAGGAAGGCTCACAATCAAGCTGAGCGAATTTCGAAAAATAAGAACGCTAAAAAGACTGTCACCTTAGGCCAGGAGCAACAGACAATTAAACGAGGGCAAGAACAAACATCGTTGACATCGTTACCAAGCAATACAACATCAACTTCTGCCGAGTGAGTGTGGTCGGCCATCAAAAATACTATTATACATATACTAATTATATACTAATTAAAAAGTTATAAGTTAAAGGTTATACTTTAGATCAAATACATAATTATTGAATGTATCTTATATCTGTCACTAGTTTTATTTATTTATCTACGCCTCATTAATTTATATTTCCCGTTTTGTTTCTCGTGATACATTTACGGTGTATGAAAGGGATGTGATTATATTTTAATTACTAGGCCTTGAGATGGTATCTTGTTTCTTGACACTTAATTTCAACAATAATTGACTGTTGACATTGATTTGACTTTAAGTATTTCTCAAATACCGAATTTCAACAACAATGAATAATTATTAGTACGGATTATTGGAGCCTTTTATATCCATATCGCAGCCATAAGGTGTTGATAAGATTTATCTATAAAATGTTAAGATCTGCTCATAACAGAAAATATTAGGAAGAGAAATAAATATTAAATATTAAGCGTAGTAAAGAAGAGGAAGGAACATATTCTTTCCTTCTTTCCTTCGCCTAATATTTAATATTTATTCTTATTCCTAATATTTCTTCTAATGTGCGCAGACCTTTAGAGTCTAAGGAGGGTTCATGGTGACCCCCGAAAATAGAGTCTACAGAGGGTACACGGAGGCTTACGGAAAGAGTGTACGAAGGATCTATCGAGGGTCTAGGGAGGGTCTAGAGAGGGTATTTTGAGGTTTTATCCAGCCAGCGACATCGAATCTACGAATTATGGGGAGGGTGAACGGAGAGTCGCCCATAGACTTCTATAGACGGAGCATTAGCTACAACTCTGGACAAGAGGGGTTCTGATATTCGGAGCGCGGAGGCACTCATCTGACATCGACTCTTTCCGGTGAGATTCGGTAATATTCGGTTCACATTTCCAATCCCCATCCAGGATCATCCCCACTCCAAGTTGGAGGGGATGATTCGTTCGGCCACGCGCGCGCGCACGCTCGCATACAAGCAACGCGCCGTATATACGTGTGCACACGTATTGGAAATGTGAACCAAATATTACCGAATCTCACCGGAAAGAGTCGAAGTCAGACGAGTGATCCCCTTACCGCGATTATCAGTTACCCCTCGTACAAAGGGTCCGTCTATAGAAGTCTATGGAGTCGCCAGACTCCGCGTAACCTCCGAAGACGTTAAATGGGTAAAAACTGCCATTTGACGAGTAAACGGAGGGTCTGCAACATAAACAAATGTCTATTATATGACCCTCCGTTCATTCTCCGTAACTCTCCAGAAGAGTGCGATGTCAGGCGTTACAGAGGGTATATATTTCGACTCGGGACGCCACATCGATCACTGTGCGATAACCAACGTTACC